TTCGTGCCGTGCATACCACACATCGAACGTTAGGTTATTTTGCGGGTCGTAACAGAAATCAACAATACGACTAGCCAAATTTTCCATTAGGCTTCCTCGACCTCTTGCGCTGTCTTCAGTGAGCATTGCAAGCAATTTGCTTTGTATTTCCAATAACTCTTGGATTTTTGCGTCCGCCATTGAAATGACTTGCCAATATACATTCGGCTTTTAACAAAATGGCTGCGTCGAATGTTCTCGTCGCAAAACTCGAAATTTTGTATTGGTGTAGACTGCCTTGTCAAAAGACAGAGCAGGTAATTATTTTATTAGCAAGTATCCTTGCAACCTGCACACTCCGAATACTCGTCGCCAATTTCTGTTATGGTCCAACAGAATTAAAGAATGTTCAATTTGTTAAGAAAATCCAGTTTATTTAATTCCATATAAAATAGTAGCGTGTTCTCTAGCAAAAGTACGTAAAAAGGAAGTAAAGTAAAAAAGGTAAGTGAAATAACTATAAGTTGATCCGATGTCAGTACTGCCACCTAGCTGGAGTTGAATGAGAACATGGTTGCATTCAATAAGTCTGCAATCTCCGCAACATTATTGAATGCATAAATTAAATTATGGGAGCGATTTATTCACATGGAATTGGAAACAGGGCTGATATACTTTAAATAAATTGTGAATCTGCGAAAATATCTTTTCAGCATATGGATCTACTTCTTAACTTTTGCCGAAAATTTACATACAGGCTCGAAATTATGCCAGTAACTTTCAAATATCGTCTCTTGAATGGAAAATTTCCGTAAGCGTCATTTTGTCAGTTTTTAGTTAAAGATGCAGTTATATGTTTTAAAATAATATATTTCGATTTTTTGTTAACAGTTTTTTGGATATCTTTAGTTTCCGAGTAATTGACTAAAATTTTATCGGTAATTTGGTACAAATTACGTTAGTAATGCTGTCGTACTAAACTAATCAAGATCTTCAAATAGCGTCATCTGTTTTAAATATCTGCTTTAGTTTCCGACATATTCAGCCTTATCATGAGTTTAATTTTCTCAATCCGAGTCACCTTTTCACTTTTCGTTTCCGTGTATTCACTACGGGTGGGTGAAAAAAATTCTGGCGAAACTCACGATTAGGCTGATTAGTAAAATGCATCGTTAATTAACAAAAAAAATTTAGCTTGTATATTTATCTCTCTAACGCATTAATTCTATATACGTCAAGACCAACGCCCGACGCCGTTATGTCTGTATTTAATAACGGCTCTATGACAAAATATTAAAGAAATGTGTTCGTTGATTTTTATTTACTTCATTTCATACATTAATATTGATCTGATTTTTTTAATAAGTACCAGGAGTAAATATTTAACAAAAAACTATTTCACTTAAGCTGAACCAACTTTTAGTTGCTCGGAGCTAATTTTGGAACGCTTCATAAAATATTTTCATAGTCGGAAAATGCAACCCTGGTTGCATCATTAATAATAATAATAATAGATTGGCGCTTACACATATGTTAGTGTTTGGCCGAGCTTATCCTCCGATTTGTGGTGTGCGCCTTGATGTTGTCACACAAAGCGGAGGGACCTACAGTTTTACGCCGACTCCGAACGGCGATTGTATTTTTATGAGAAGCCGTTTTTCATGGCATCATTAATGAGCTGAAAAACCAAAACAAATAATTCAATTTGTGGATTGGAGCCTTTTGAAATGGCCTTTAGAAACAGCAAAGGAATTTCGACACTATTCAAGGAATCGCGAATATAAGCTGCCTTCCGTTTGGCATATTTGCGGTTTAAACCTTCAGAAAGTTACAAAAAAAAACATTTTCTATTTTTATTTATTATACATTTTGGAAATAAAAATACTCCAAATTGTACACCAAAAAAATTTCTTTAAACCATCTTGCGCAGCAGTTTGTTGATCTTATCTTCACGGTTACCGAAATCACCAACCTCAACGTAGTGATTAGCCCTCTTGCGCCAGCCGCCGGTTGGTGTTGAGCTTTAATGGCCAGAGGAAGTTGGAGGCTTTCTTGAAGTGGGATCCAACAGTGAATATTTCGTGCGCCAAATAACCAACGCACTGAATATCGTGTGCTTTGCGCAATTTGCGTTCGATCACAAAGTTGTCAGAGATTGAGACACGTTGATGCTTGTGCTTGACAATTCCACGTTTGTAGATCAATTCACGAACTGATTTAAGATTTGGATAACCCCATGCGATATAGGGTTCGGCAATGCGTAGCATATTAATGGTTCAATTTGATGAACAAACCGTGGTTAATATGGCGACAACGGAACAACAGTAAAACTTCACGCACTTTTGGTGCAACTTTGTTGATACCGCGGATACAGATCACAAAAGCCAATTTGTCTTCTGCAGGCACGTAGAATGGGCTGCGTTTCTTTGCCGGACGGCGCAACTTATTCTCACGGCGTCCATCACGGAGATATTTTGCTTGATATTTCTCAGCATGCACCAAGTTTTCACGTTTGCGGAGTGCAATCACAGCAGAGCGCTTTAGTTCACGCTTGACCAGGGTAGCACGTTTGCTGACCTGCTTCTTGCTAAACTTCAGCTATGCCTCGGGGACAGCAGGAAGCTTCCTGGAAGGCTGTTTGCCCTTTGCTTCGGGCTTCTTACCGGCCGTGGTGGCAGTCATCTTAACTTGTAACTTAAGACGTTGCGAAGATAAAAAAAAATTCGCCAAATGTTTGGAGCATATCTTAAATAACTCGATTTATAATATTTCTATTAAGAACATTTAATTAAATGCTTTTATAATACATAAGATATGCTGCTACTTTCCCAAATTCCATCTTGCTTATCGGCATAATTTTCCAAATGTGCCTGCGCTGCTACTTCATACTAATAACTTCATTTTCAAACTGCGCCTTCTTTGTTGCTTCAACATATCCTAAAAATACATAAAATTTACATTAAACAATAGAAATCGCAAAAATTAGCAAATAAAATACTCCCTTCATTTTGTTTTGTTGCCAAATTTCTGAGAAATGTGAATTCACCACGATGCAATACAGAAAGATCAAGGACCAGGGATGTAACTTTAAGTAAACCTAATATTCAGTGGCAATGCGCAGAGCGTTCCGAGTAGCAAAATTAATTTGTATCAAATATAACATTAAACGGTGGTTATAATACACTTTTTAATATTATTAATCAGAGTACACAGATTATATGGTATTTCTTTCAAAAATTAATGCACTATATGTATATTTTTTTGATGTTTCTTAAGATTCTTTCATTGGTGCTGAAAAGCAACCATGCGTGTAAGAAATTGTGTGCTACCTAAAATTTCACCTCTGGAAACTTTATCCCCATAAAGGACTTCACCACAGTTTTTTTTACTGGATATACTGAGTATCGATTCTTGTGCGTACGGTTCAAATCGCAGCTCACAACGTCCGGATATTTATATCCACGTATCCTCTGGGTAGCAACCAAACACCC